CGTCTCTAACGACACGCTACTGGCCTTGGACGTATATATGGCTTATACCGACCAAACCAATCCGGAAAATAGAGCTCACTTCAATGTCACAGTCCATTTGAAGCAGCCGGAGACGGAGTTCCTACTCTTTGCTTTCGAAGCCAGTGGATGCGCCTTGGTTTGGGCTGCTGATATTGGCATCGCAGGCTTACGCATTGAAGTATGTCTTACGGGTGGAGGCGGCGGTGGGAATGGCACTTACGAAGGGAAAATAGCGATGTCGGTCGCGGTCATAATCAAAGTTGGTATCTTCCCTGCGTTGAGAGCCACACTCTCTGGTCAAGTTGCGGTCAAGGCTTCGACCAATGGTGACGTCAAAGCATATGGTAAGCTGGGTATTGAGGTTTCGGCGGTAGTTGTCGGAGCCGGTATATCTGTGGACATCTTCGGCAACACTGTTGATCGAAAATATGATGTTTGGAAATTCAAGTCCCACTTCAACCTTCACGTATGGGTTGATGTCCTCGTCTACAGCCATGACTGGCCATGGAGCTGGCCTATTTGGGAAGCTGGTCCGGTTAAAGTGCGATGAGTCGGCGAGCGCGTCTTAGCAGTGTATCGGAGGTCACGTTCGAATCCCATGTGATTCACATGATGTAAAAATTCCATCGTTACCTTTACGCTAAAATACTATGCCTTCATTATGTCTTGAACTTTGTTTGATGATTGCCAAGCACACTTTCGCTCGTCGGAGTATGTGTTCGGAGATTACGTTCGAATCCCATGTGATTCACATGATGTAAGAATTCCATCGTTACCTCTACGCTAAAATACTATGCCTTCATTATGTCTTGAACTTTGTTTGATGATTGCCAAGCACACTTTCGTTCGTCGGAGTATGTGTTTTAGTCGGTGTTTTTGTCTGTGAGCCGATTCTGATTTCCCCTTCGTTGTCTCAGCTGATGCAATATGGTGTCATACCAGTCGGTAGGGCAACATGTGAGAGAGGCATCTCGAATTCCGCCAATTTCATGCAGGATTCGTCTCCTCTCGAGCACAGCGGAGCGAAGTGTTCCTCGATATGCATCATATGCACCGAGTTGATCCATAGAATATTATTCTTAGGATTGGAAGTTCACTGGCTCCTCGAAGATTGCTTTGTCGTGTTCAGACCAGTAATGAGAGTCACATAGCTAGTCACATTATTCGTCCCGAGCTGATCACTTATGTCGTTATTTGAAAGCGATGTGTACTTTGGAAGTTGCGAGCAGCAACACCTCCCGCATAATTCACTCACGAGTCGCTCAACCTAAGCTATAGACTTCTACAACAATCTATGTTGTGAATAAATTTGTTGGATATAAATGTGTTATGAGTTATCGAATGAATTCTATGTCACTCTCATACGGACAGACATCACATCTGAAGCCCTCAGACTGAGGGAAGACATTTCGGACAACTCGTCTCAGTGAAGCCCTCTCGTAGATCTCTACCCGTAAACGGTACTTCTCTCCTTCATTGGTGAATGCTACCAACTTGTCGCAATACCAACGCCCCGCTCCCAATCCTCATTAGCAACGCCTCGAAGCGTTGCTAGGCGTAGGCTCGCCTCGATTCACTTCGCTAAGATTTCACTCTATTTTCGATTATACCCTCGCGGCGACGCCGCGAGGGTATAATAACCTAACCACTGATAACCTAACCAAGTACCGCGGCGTAGGCTACGCCACGGGATAGCCTGGCTATCATGGGTAGCTGACGATCTGACTATCATAGCCAGATCGTCAGCTACCCTTTTTTACAGTTCTGCCATGACTCTTATATAAGAATGATGAACAACGTTATGTTAATGCGTCTAGATTCATATTATCGCACATGATGCCCTGGTATCATCGCATTAACTTAATGCCATTAAGGATGCTTACTGAGTCCTATACACGCCAGATTGGTGATAATGGCATCAGCTACCGCGAGCTCTTGAAGCCGTGTCCTGACGAGAACACACAAAAAGAATACTGGACCAGAATAAAGCACGTCGGTATAAGCCAAAGCACACATTTACACACCATCATTTCACCCTATGACGAAGTGTTGTGTTTGTTTCTGTGTAAGTTGTCTCCTTGGCTATTGCTTCGTGTCGTTCGTGCATATCTCACCCCAGCGCCAGGTGAGCCTACTACTGCTTATATCGATAAGTAAGTTCTTTCTATATGTCCTCTAGTGTGGCGTTCTCTCAATGGGAGATAAGGAAGGCATGTCGACTCTCACCACTTGAGGTGGTGAATAACGAGTCCTGTGCATTTCCCTCGGACAATGTCTGCCTTAGATAATGCGCCATAATTCTGCACCTCATCTACTTCGATATTATTTCTCATAATGTATTCTCTATATAATATAGACTATATTTGAGTGTTCAAGATCGTCTCAAACTTAGTATGCATTTTTTCTGCTGAGCCTCAGGAGTCGATAGCGTGCGACCAATCACCGCGAGCCGCCCATCGAATCTCTGCGGTCAGAAGTCTTCTCTGTCAAAGGAGATTATACTGTAATAACTATTATAAACCAGGATACAATTGAAAAACTGCTCGAACACAACAGTTAGAACGATCGCAACATGCGAGGCCTGATGCACCACGCGAACGTGTAGCACAGGAAATAACACTTCATTTGGCATGCAATGGACGGTCAAGCTACTCCATCCTCATAAAACTATAGTCATCATAAGGGTCTCTCAGAATAGAAAGTAGTCATATAAGAATTGATATAGTCAGGCCAATCACCGCGATAACGAGTGAGCCATGCGTTCCTCTCGTAGCGTCAGATGGTCCCATTGGGCACTTTTCAGGCAGTCTCGTAGAGTTCATCGTAGCATTGAAGACCTGCATCAGTGAACGTTCATCTGTCGGGAAGTAATCATGCTCGAGCGCATAGATCATTATTCCCCCGATGCAGTTGTTGTATATAAACTCAGTTTTGTGTTTGATAACCGCTGGAGTGTTGAAGTAGAAGCCATTGAAGTAACCATTGCCAGAAGGATCTCCCCCTTGCTCGATAAGTGTCTGATATCCTAGTTGTTGCCTTTCTCTCGTTTCGCCGTATAACGGTATCTGACTGGCTGTCGTCCACAACGATAGCGGAGCACACGTTTTGATATAGAGATCGCCTCAATGTATAGCAAAACAGACTCGGTCCTTTTGCTGTGTTA